AGGATATGGGTCTGGAGAATGCCTCACCAAGAGTTTTGACTCAATAGATTGCAGCCAACTGTGAAGCATGGTTGTTTCAGCGTAATGATTTGGGTTGGTGGGAGATCGAGCTTAGTGGAGTGCATTGGCAACATAAATTTTGTGAAATACATCGAAATATTGGAGGAAGGACTCTTGCCACTTTATTCCTCGGGTTTCGTGGACAAGAACACAACATTGTTCCAGGAAGATGGAGCACCATGTCACACTGCTAGAAACACCTAAAAAACCTCTGGGCCATACTCGACCGGCAAGTCAAGAAGCAACCAAAAAAACCAACTTCGAAGAGCGATCTACTCCAAGTTTTGAAGCAAGAATGGGCGAAAATCCCACAATTTAAAATTGACGAGATGATTCTCACGATGCCCCAATCGATCAACAAACTCCACGAAGCAAAAGGAAGATCTACTAGATATTAATTAAATTATAAATATATCAATTCATGTGAATATGACTGAAAAATTTCATTTTTTCTGACAAGGTGAGGTCTATTTACTTGTGACCACGCTGTGTATATATACATGTATATACAGTATTCTTGATAACCTCACACCCTTACTATTTTTGATGACGAAGAACCCACTTTGAGACTAATAATGGTTGGAGACAGCTTGAATGGGTAATGAAGAAAAACTTTAATATAAGTTTAACATAACAGCAAATGTACAACATTTTGATAAGGTTTTGTCATCATCAGGTTCCAACCATTATTACCCTTACTATTTCATACATGGATTTTTGAAAGATTGTGCCATAGGGGTACATTCACACATGGAAATTTTGGTTTATGTACATGAGAAAAGTAAAAAACAAAAAACATTAATTTAAGCATTCCAGTGCATTTACTGACTTAAGAGTATGCACCTATATCCTACGTATTTATGTTTTTAGGCAGATCAGAGTTTCTCATTATATCTCGGAGTAGGTGGTTGAATTTATTATTGGCTTGTGTCCCAGTATCCTGTGGGAACTGACATTATAAGGGGTTCTTTGGGCATCCTCTCCCATAAAATTTTAACCCTCACAGAGGGAAATTTTCATCTATGTGAGGTATATATTCTTTCAGATTTTCTCAACACAATTACAAGAATTGAGTACTTGGATATCACATGATATAATGTCAGAAAAGGGTGTTAAAACCAAAGCCTGTAAAGAAACTAAGCAGAAAAAGGCAAGGGAAACATTTGAAAGTCAAGAAATAGGGAATATATATTCTCAAGGAGGATAGTTTCTTATCAAAAAGAAAGCTATTCTTTAGGATGGGCAAAAGAATAGCAATATACATGTATAATATACTGACTTTCATAGTTACTAAAGCATGATAGTTTGTCAACATATAAAAACTGACTTAAAAAATTAGTTTGATGAAAGTATTGGCATAAAAACATGAAAAACAAGAGGAAATCCTGCATGATATACATTTGTTTTTAGATGTAGGTAAAAGGTATACATACCATAACAATACTTTTTTTTTGTATAGTTAATTATTCTGAAGTATCAAAGTTTTGTTACTGTTTCCATCTAGATATTGTTTATTCACATTTTGAAGGTTAGGTTAGGAGAATAAAATGTTAAGCCAGAGTTATAGTTGAACTAAAAGTTTGTACCCTTGTTCATACAGTTTGTAAACTTGTTCACAGGAATGCAGGACTTCAATTATTTAGGATCAAATGACTTTGAGATAACTCTGGAACTTGGCTGTAATAAGTACCCTTCAGAGGAGCGGTTACCAAAAGAATGGGATATTAACTCAAAGGCATTATTGAACTTTATGTGGCAGGTAAGGTATTATATATATTTATTTATTTGACAGATAAAATGTTGTTTTAGTAAAATGAGAGAAGTATAGTGCACATTGGAGTGTAAATATATTTAATATTATAGAAGTATAGTGCACATTGGAGTGTAAATATATTTGATATGAAAGAAGTATAGTGCACATTGGAGTGTAAATATATTTGATATGAAAGAAGTATAGTGCACATTGGAGTGTAAATATATTTGATATGAAAGAAGTGTAGTGCACATTGGAGTGTAAATATATTTAATAAAAAACATATTACCTTAGCATTTCACCTAGCAGCTTCTTCAGAAAGTTAATCCTGTTTTGATCAGAAAACAACCTTCAGGTGTCAAGTGAACATCTACACATCAAACATAAAAATAAAAATTAATAATTATAATTCTATTTCAACAGTTTTTAACTCAAAAGAAATGTTTTTTTCATTGATATTTTGTCATTTTGTTACATTAAAAAGTATTATAAATGAAAAGTTTTAACACAGTATATTCAATATAAAAGGACTTATGTCACATTAATAGTTGGCCATCTTACTGTACTTAGCTTACTGTACTCAGTAAACTTAAATATCCTTAACCCTATCGCCACGTGTATCCTTTACTGTGTATAACACAAAGTTTTATGTGTGTTACATTCATAATTTTATTAAGCTACTTTATGTTTATGTTATATCAATTAGTATAGCACAAATTCTTAGATAATAATCCATATTTTAGTAGTATATAAGTTTTAAGTTCTTAATTCTATAAGGGAATAATTCTGAATTTCCCCCAGTGTAACACACGTGACACATTTTTTCTAGGTATCTTCTCCTCTCTATTTTATCACCACCCCTCCAAATGTATGACATTAAATGTAAATTACTCACTATAAAATCGTCATTACTCAGACAAACCATAATTTTGTTTAGCCTTCACACCCACGTGTCGTATCCTCTCTTTCATGATTTGTTAATAGTTCTCTCTTACATTTAATTATATATTACCTATAACCAATATAAAGTGAAGGTTTTCATCTTTCAATCTATGGTGTATTGTTTAATGTGTTCTGAACAGACAAGCGCCAATTTCACTCAGAGTACAAGTTACATTCCCATGGGAAAGTTAACGACTAGCTTGTATGAACTTGTGACAGCTCTTGTCGCATAGTTAGAAAGGCAGAAAAATTTTGAGAGTTAAGAGAAATTGTCTACTTTTTGCATGTTATTAGTCTATGTTCTTTGGTGCATTATTTAATTAAATAAAAATTATTTAGTGCTTTACTACCATTATTATAAAAACTTAGGGTTAAATCTCCTCGACAATCGACAGCAAGAAAAAAGAAGATTGGTTAAGTATTTTGTTTCTTGTTTTTTCATGTTTATTATTTATGTCTAATTATAAAAGTAACTAAAATGTAAAAATATGGATCCTTTTAGGTTAGTTAAGATTAAATTAGGTAAAATAAGTAATAATATAATAAAAATGATTCATGAGGCACGCATGTAAGCAGCTCGTAGTAGCTTGTGGGTAATGTAATTCGATAGCGTAACATGAACTGCATGTCCTCCAAGTGATTTACAACTTATAATGGCATGAATAGTAGTTAGACATGGTTCAAAGGGCAATAAAACATTCAAATTTAATTATAAATAGGTGTATACTGTTACATTCATAAAGCTATTTAGAATAAATGAATGTAGTTTCATGTTACAATTTGAAGTCACTCTAGAAGAAAAAGAGGATAATTTAGATTTATTTTGATTTTTTTTTTGGAGGTTATGAGGTCGGTCAAATTGACCTATCCCATATAGAGGTATGGTAGTGAAAATAACAGATAAATATAAAATTTTACAGAAAAAAAGTTTGAAATGTATTTAGGAGGTTTTAGGGATTGCACAAAGGAAATTTGATTTTCTGAAGTTGAAGAAAAGTATTTTTAATCTTAACACGAAATTACTTCGCACTTGGACTATTAAAATAATATTCTCAGTATATTCATGGACAAATCTAGCTTTATTTTAGTTTATTAGAAATACTTCACTAAAAAATATACTTTTTTATGTGCAAAAGACGTATAATGTTAACTGAAAGACTGTCAAATTTTGTGAAGATATACACACTATATTGAAAGTTAGAAATATTGATTCTATAAAGATTTTAAACAAGCACAAAGAGGTCACATGGTTGGTCAAATTGACAGAGCATATGTTGAGAGAGTTGACTGATGTCTTGTTGCACAAGATTATTCCAGTAACTTAAAAATCTTGTCATGAATTAAAAGCACATCAGAAAGTATAACAAAGAATCCCAGACCTTGGTAATTGATTGGAAAGTATTTCAAAACTTTGTCTTGAGATTGATTGTATATCAGTCACAATATTCAACTTCAACATTTTCAAAAGAAAAACAGTTTTTCATATAATGCTATTGTATTCTTAATTACAGAGTGTTAAAGTTTTAGAACCAATCAGTTTGATGTTATTAGCTATAGGCTGCATTCCTTTTCAAAACTGAAACTATTCAAATTTCTTAAGATCTCTCTCTCTCTCTGAGCAGTAATAATAGAAATGTAAGTTCAATCAATAAACTCACACTTGAACAAACAGGGGTTTATCAAAAAATGTTTAAATTTATTTGAGAGAAAAAAAAAAGCTAAAGAGCCATAAAAAAAGTTTAAAAAAATCTAGAAGTGTGATGTGTAAACTTCAGACATGATATAAACATGTTTTCAAACTGTTCAGAATGTATTTGTTTTAGTGAAAATGATCACCTTTTGTACTTGTTGATTAGCTGTTAAGTTGCAGTATCGTTAACTCAGTTTTCTACTTTAGGCTCATATAGGAATCAAAGGTACTGTACGGGAAACAGGGACTGGGAGGCCTCTTCAGAATGCTGTCATTAAAGTACATAATATCACTGATGGCAAGGATTTTCCAATCAACCACGATGTGACATCAGGTAAGTTGTTTGGTTTAATTCTTAGCAAGCATTAATTATTGAGAAACTCTATTCATAGAACTAAAATAGTTTAAACCATGATGAATTAATCAGCATAAAGGAACACCGAAAAAAGTCAAAATCCTTCTTCAGGAATAAAAATAAGAATAGTCAATTATTTGAAAGTGCTCAAGCTTCTGCATCTTTTGGAATCTACTAAGATAGTTATAAATACCATGCAGATCATCACTAAAAATAAGGTAAAATCTTAGTTTAAGTCATAGTTTCTCAAACGTTTGTCATTCACGTCCCTCATAAATAAATATGGTTTCTTGTATGCCCACCTCATTTTTTAAATGAGTGAAAGAGTTAGATGACAAAATGTAATACACAGATACACATTAAAATGTTATATGTGTTGTAGTAATTAGTTATTCTTTTCATTAATGAAAGATATATAAAACTTAATTTTGCATTATTGCACTATTGACTCTAAGTTTCCCAAAGTTTGGGGTACCCCCCAGGGAGCACAAGCAATTATGGGGTTTAAGTAATTCAAATTAACAAATAATTAAGACAATTTAGTATAACAAACTGATGAGAAATACTTAATATTTTAAATCAGTATACCAAAAAAAAATTAATCCTATAATGATTAGGTTACATTGAATCATAAATTGAGTGTCTTTCCTGTTAACAGTATTTTTCATCAAACAGCTATTTCATCATTCAAATAATTGTCTAGTAGGTTAACTTGTTACATCTAATCTGCTTCAGTGAGAGGAGGAGAGTATTGGCGACTACTGACACCAGGCACCTACAGAGTTACAGCTATGAAAGCAGGTTTCCAGCCACAAAGCCAAGAAGTGACTGTTACTAACATTCCCCATCAAGAAGCACAAAGAGTTGATTTTACACTGGCGAAAGAACCTGTCTACACAGAGGTATTTATAAGTATATAATTTTTACTTGCTTATTAACACAGCCAGTAAAGTTGGTGTAAATTGTATTCTGGTCAAAAAGCAGTGATATTTTTAATCTTCTTTTCCTGACTCTACAAGGTGTAGCATAACTAGGTTTTGGAGTTTTGGGGGGAAAAAATTACCAAAAGAATTCAATTAAATATTTGATATTAGGAAAATGTGTGGAAAGAGCTCTATAGGGTTTGCAGTAATGGAGAAAGAAGTATTGTTGAGAACTATGCATTTTGCTTAAGAAATTCTTGATCAGTTTTGTAGTAATGGAGAAAGAAGTATTGTTGAAAACTATGCATTTTGCTTAAGAAATTCTTGATCAGTTTTGCAGTAATGGAGAAAGAAGTATTGTTGAAAACTATGCATTTTGCTTAAGAAATTCTTGATCAGTTTTGCAGTAATGGAGAAAGAAGTATTGTTGAAAACTATGCATTTTGCTGAAGAAATTCTTGATCAGTATCTTTTTATCCAATTGTTTTATGTATGAATGTCAAGAATGATGTGATTATGCTAATGTTTCAAAGTTAACATGAAAGTTATTCAAATATCTATATTTGCCTCTAATAATTTGTATGCTGTAAACCGGTTGGCCTTATGAGCTCTGTTACTGACCAAAGGTTCCTGTTGTATAACAAGCAGTATAATTGAACACTTTTCTTACTGAAATGCATGCTGGGCCTGTAGGGAGTGAGGTGATTTAAGTTTTGATCAGTCTTATTGTGATGTATTAACCATGAATATATAACCAAAACACATCCAAGTTTCTACCTGTGGATACAAATATTAAACACTATTAATGTATAACAAACGTATTTGAATAAATTGTTCCTAGCAGAGAAGTTTAATTTATTAACAGTGCTATGTTTGTTTCTCCTTAGACTCAATTCTCTTGATATTGTAAAGTTTTCCACATACAAAACTTAAAATTACCCTCTATAGACAGCCACAACCTTATTTCTCCTAGCTAAAAAAAAATATTTACAACTGCAATTATAATTTAGTGTTGATGGACATAAACTAACTTTAATGTAATTTTTTACTTTAGTCTGAAAATAGTTTAGAGGAGAATAACAAGCCAGACATCCCTAATCTCAGCTTGTCTCGTCTCCTGGCCTACATGAGAAGTCAAGAACGGTCATGAAAATATGTATTTACCTGAAAAAAAAAGGCTTCTATTGAAAGGTTTTTCTTAATGTATTGAAACAGATCTAGTCACATTCAACATATAGTTGTTATTAGTAATTCATAGTTTATTATTTTTTTAATGTCTAAACCTTTAAAAGAATCTTTATATTTCACTTTCTTAGTTTTAGCTTGTTTATCCTGTAACTTTTAAGTAAAATAGTGAAAGCGAATGAATGTTATAGTGATATGTAGTGTTCCGACCCAGTTATTATAGGGAAAAAAAGTGGGCTCAACGTCACACCTACTGAAATTTTATTTTGTATCTACTTCATAAATATCATGTTCCTTTAATATAGAAAATACATGTTTTTTTAGTTCAAGTATATGACAGAAATCGTACCTCAAATATTTAATTTTGCTGTTCTGTCCAGATATACAATTTTTATTTTGTTACATTAAAATTACACAAAAAATGATCACAAATTCAAACTTAAAAGTTCCTTTTTCATAACTTTTAATGTTTAAGTTTACTAAGTAGACACACATTTTATGTAGATGTAACTTGTTACTGCTTTTAATTTTAAATCAAACTGTCTTAAACTTCATATAACATACTTGCCAAATTTGTATTTTTTTATATATATATCTATCATAGTTTATTGAAACTTTACTATTATAGTTGTTTTTAGTTACAGTGAAAAAGGTTATCAATGAGTAAAAATTTAACACTGCTATAAAATTGGATATTGTTCATATGCATAGGTGAATCTTTGTTAGTTTTCATACAGGTCCTTGAATTTAGACTTGGTAATTTAAAGGTCTTGAAAATCCTGAATTTTTTTCTGTGCTGAACAACATACAGCTTTTGAAAAAGTTTGCAAAAATGTACTAAATATCTAATTAATTCAGTGTAACAATGTCCTAGATGTATTATTTCAACATGATTTAAGAATCTTTTTAAAAAAAATAAAATTGTATTTGTATAGAGATGTAAAGGTTTTTAAAAGTCCTTAAATTTTGGACCTGTAAGGTCCTATAATCCCTGAATTATTAGCTTAGTAGAGATCTTAAACCTATTTAATATCTGTGCATAAATAATAATGGAGAAAAACCGAGTTAGCTAAACTTTGTTTTCATGAGGTAAAAATATTTGGCTTTCACTTTTATAAAATCTACTTTCTTAGTGGCATTTTTACACTACTTAAAGAAAGGGTATCTAAAATGTCTTACACAAAATAAATGTATTTATTATGTAGAAACTGAGGGAAATTGTATTTCTACGAAATGTGTACCTGTAATGAAAGCATAAGCTTGCTTTCTAAACACTTGTCATATCAAAAATGGAAGGTCAAACCAAGTATATAGTCATGCAAGTTCTTACCCATGACAGCTTAATTTTTGTAATTACTATTAATATGATGTTACATAGGAGAGTTTAATGGTAATGATATAAATTGTTGTAGTTTTTTACAAGTTATGAAAAATAGAAGATAGTGTGTTTATCACTAATTCCTTTAAAGTTTTCATCACAAATATTTGTTTGGTAATTTTTACAGTATTTTCATTTTCCCTTTAACCCCCTTCTGTAATTTGAAAAAGATATGTTGGGCATCCTCTATGTTTCAAAAAATATTTGCCTTACTTAATTTGGGCAAATCATTTCTTGCTGTATCTTTAATTATTTGTCCAAATTTATTTCATATGTTATCATGTATTACAATCAGTGCTTGCTAGGTGGCATTGCAAATGATGTTTTTGCTGGTTTCTAATGGATTTATTCTGAATTATGTGTCTAGTCAGTAGAACATGCTGTTCTGTGGTGGGAGAGTCACATTTTCTGTTTGTAATCTGTAAATTAGTTTTCGATTTATTTGCATTCAATTTTTAGTTGCTGAATGGATGTTGAAAGTGACATTGATTGGAATGAAATTGAAAACAACTTTTCTGAAAGTAAAACTACTATCTCAGAACAGACTAGTTACAATGATGTTGCTGCTTTATTACAATTTTAGATATGGTGTGTTGTAAACACTACGAGGCAACTTTTCCCTCCTCCACATAGGTTCCAATTTCATGGTGCTTCTTTATTGAATATCAATATTGACCCTAATGGTGACATTTTGCTTTTTTTTATTTTGATGATGTTTTAGTTTATATGATTACAACAGGAACAAACCATTATGCAGCTCAGTTTCTCTAAGCATGCTAAAGTAACTGTTGCCAATCTCTTTGCAGTCAGTGGCATCCCACAACAAATGACTAAACATGTACATTTCTTGCCATCATAAATCTATAGAGTATTATGCATAAACCTTAATAGCAACTTTTTTTGGTCCAAGAATCCTCTCATTACACCTTTTTCTCCAAAAGTATGTCTTACCGAAGGTTTGTAATGTTGAAACAATACCTTTATTTCTCTAACAGTGATACTTATGACCAAAAAATTACCCAAGTTCAAAGCTAAATAAGATATGGTCTATTTTTGAATATCTAAATAAGAAATTCAAGACAGTTTATAAATCAGACAGACATTACTATAGACAAAATTGTCATGCTGTTCAAAGAACAACTTGGTTGGATGCAGCACAGTCCTCTAAAAAAAAGGCCAGATTTGGTATCAAGACATTTTTGCTTTGTGAATCAAAGTTAGGAAACACTTGGTCAAGCCGAATTTAAACATGAAAAGGAACAGTTGGTGATGAAGATTATAAATAGCTTCCTGTGTCTTTGCAAATTTTGCTGTTTAAACCTTTAATAGACAAGGGCTAACTGCCTAACAATGGACAATTTTTACACTTTCCCATACCACTGACACACAGTAAAACTTCTAAGTAAAGAAATGCCTCCAGACTTGAAAATGACAAAATGGGAAATCATGGCATATTAGCATGGAAAGGTCATTGACACGTGCTGGCAGGATAAGAGATGTAGGGTTTGTTCTGTTTTTCTAGTGCAAATTTCATGGACCACTGTAACAATTTAAGTCTCCAGTTTACGAGTTCAACAATTTTAAGTGTTGATGATGTTTAATAAACTGTAAAAATATATAATTTGAATAAGGAATTTATTAGCAAAAATTAAATTAAATGCTTTTTTTATGTTTAAAATCTATAACTTTTTAAACAGTATTGCAAGCAATAATCTAAGAACGTACAGACCTGAAGTGAAAAATTAAATGAAGAAATAAGATAAATCCATTCTAGAAAAGCTAATCTTGAACAGAACTTATATTTATTTACAAAACCAATTACCTGAGATACAAGCTGTTAGCAAACTATTTCATTAACAAAACATGACAAATCAACGGGCAGCGGTTAAACATTATTGGATCAAATCCTGGGTGGTAGGGACACACTGCTGCTATCTTTTTGAGCAATCAGGTTCTTAACCTAGATTGCTCTAGTAAAAACCTAACTGTATAAGTTGGTACTAGAATTTGCTTGTTAAAATAATAATGTGATATCTAGTAACAATTATAAGTCACTCAAGATAAGGGTATCTGCTAAGAACTAAATAATATTAAAATGATTTCTTTAGTTCCTTCATTTTTTATTCTAGTTCCACCTCAACAGATTTAAGGTTTTTTCCATAGCAGTTCTTCTCAAGCTGTTGGATTTAGAAATTCCACTAAATTTTTCTGTGGTTTTGGCTTCTTCTGCACATCTACTATGAGGACTTAGATACCTTCCTCCACTTTCTTTTTTGCCTTGATGTTTGAAAGTTCCTCCGTCAAGGACCTTTTCTGACTTCTTTTTTGTTTTGAAACTCCTTTTCTCTATGTTGGCCCTCCATGTATGTCTGTTATTTCTAATAAAATAAATATCTCTTTGGAGTAATTGACATTTACCACACCTCCCAAACCATGAACATGATCATTAATGACACACTGTACAAGGTTTTCCAGCATCACATCTTTGTTCACTAAAAATCAATGCTCAACTGTTGCTTGTCCATGAGACATGATAAGCACAGTCTCTCAAAGATGTCTAAACTCAGCTTCGTTAGCTAAGTGGTCATGGAAGAATATATTCAATCTTCTACCTTCAGGTCTGAAGGAAAATAAATCTCAAAAAAGTGAAACATCATAAAAATGGCTAAATTCCTTCAAAAGTTCATCACACTTGCTTTCTTGGATACGACCTGCTTCAGTCAGGTAAGGTTTCTCTTGCATGCTTCCTTATAAAAGATGAAGACCTCAGGATCAAATAAGAAAGTGCTGCAGTGGAGAATTCTTCAGCAGTTTAGTTACCATCTTCAGCAAAACAAAACAAAAAGACTTGCAGTTCCACTTGAATTCCAAAAGTTGTTTGTCAGATGGTTGTTTCTGAAAGTCAACCTTCAGAGTGGATATATCCATGTGATTTACTGAGTTTTGGACATCAGTTTATAAAAGTTTAAATGCAGATGTAGGATCTTTCATTATTTGAGGTTTGAAGAACCTTTCTATCAGTCCACAGAGGGGGGTGAGAAACATATTTCTTTCTTGATTCATTCATTCAGTATATGTATAAGAAACATCATAAAAAAAAAATTAGTGTTGATTTAGACTTCACTCCCCCATTCTCCTCAAAAGGTGGATGTCTAAGGATACCACCAAATCCACTTTGTCTGATATACTAGCCCCCAAAAAGAAGACTAACCCAACAAGATAGTGTGTGTATTGTTTAAAGAAATTGAAGTGAAAAAGCAGATACTACTGTCCAGATTACCATGTCAGACTTTGTGTTGTGCCTTTTTTTGGAGTGTGCCATACTAAGGCAGATTTTTAAAAATTGTCATTTTTATCTTATAACAATTAATGTAATTTCTTTTATATTAGATCTTTATATTTGTTTTCCAATAAACACTGGAGAAAAGCATTTCTGTTCTCCACTATAATTTTATTGAAGTAATGTGTATCACGTGTTAATCAATATATGTACCATTTATTTACCAAGTATATTTTGTGCAGAAATAAATAGAAAATAACTTTTTGTGTTTCATTAACATATAAATATAAGCTATCAAATACATAATAAAAAAAACCTGCTTCTTTTTTTAGTTCATTTCCAAAAAAAAAAAGTGTTCACAGAAGGGGTTAACAATATTACCACCCACTTTTTTTTGTTACCATGGCCCAGGTAAAGGAACTGTAATATATAATAATCATTGTATATTGGCACTTCTGTAGTGGCTTTTGGATTTTCATTGTTGATACTTTAAAATATTATTTTTGCTTTGAAGTCTACTCCTTCAAATTCATTAAGAAAATATTGTTCATATTCTTAAAATATTTATTCTTGATTAATAGAAAATAGTATTCGTAGAATGTGTGTTTTACTTTATCATACTAATATGAAAGTCAGCAAAAAAAATGTAAGAGCTAATTATTTTGTTTATTAAAACAAAGTAGAGGACTAACTTGCTAAGAAGCAGTTTAAAAAGCTTCATATGGTAGAATAAAATTATTTGATATGAAACTTTTCTTTTGATGGTAACATTCTTACTCAGAAATTAAATGTTTATAGATCATGTAACATTCTAGTATTTTTAATTGTTTTATACAACATTATTTAAAAAGTAGTATAACTTTAGTTGGTAGTCTTTAATGTATATTAGGATATTTATTAACTGTAGAGTGTAGTAATTATCTTGTAGCCTAATCGTATCAAGTGTTGTTTTGTTACAGGAATTAAGTTACTGATTATGTATACAAGAGCCATCCTTCTTTTATTATTTATATTATCTTAAAAGTGAAAAATCACGTGTGTAATAAGACAAAAATATGTAAACAGTTAAAAAATATTAACCTGTTTTCTGCTAGTAAATAAAAAAGTATCATCCTTGCATTACAGTGTGTGGAAGGACTATCTTACATTTAAGAATAATATGCTCGCTCATTGAAAAAGGAAATTTATAACTTCGAAGCAAACATTATCAGTTGAAAAAAAGCCCTTAATAGCATTCACAGAAATAATTATCTTTGAGTTTAAATTTTTCCCACTCCCCCCTAAAGAAAATTAAACTAAGGGTGTTTGGTACTTTAAATCCTAATGCCTCGAATATTATACAACTAGTGAATCCATGGTTCTACAGCTCACATTTACAGGGCCACTATGATGCTCGACCTACAATTTTCCCCACTTTCAGTTTAATTATTATTGCCACTATAATGCAAATTTAATTTCTTTAACCAATTTGGCACCATTTAGAAGTTGGTGAGTCCAGCAGTTTAGGAAGAGAGATTTTCAGGAAAACTTTACCTTTATACAAACCTTAGTACAATTTAAAAGTCAGTACAACCAGCTATTTAGGAGGAGTTACATGACACTGAATCTTATTATATAGACGTGAGAATACACTAATTAAAATCTTCAGAGGGGTTTGCTAAGAAGCAAAGGGTACACAATCCTATCTTATGGAACAGTTGCAAGAAACCTAACTTCTCAAATAAATTTTGATGATAAAAATTGTCAGCCACTTATTAGGGGATTGAAGGTAAGCAACCTAAATTCCTAGACTAACAAGACATGAACCAGAAGTAGTACATGATATGTACATTCAAATCAAAGAATAAATGAAACGTGGATATCTCTCCAGAAAACAAGAGATTTTACAAAAACCAGTACCATATGTGCAGTTTGTTGCAAAATGTTATATTTCTGCAATGTCTATCCAGAATCTAATAATGACAACTTCATTAGTACTAATACAAGTAAGAACTGAAACAAGAAAATTCAGTATAAGGTTAAAACCAAAGTCAGATGTTCACTAACCGTTAATGCATCGTATGGCAATTTTTGATACGTAAAGAAATGTTACTACAGCTGAATGAGATAAGCTATTGTCAACTTTCCTACTTAACAAGTACAATTGCCCTACACTGAGGATGTAAAGTATTGTGATTGATTAAAATTATGTATTTTTGTTTGAGTTGTAAAAACAGTTACACATACACAAAAAAAATACTGTACACTGGAATCTTAAAAGTAGAAAAAATTTTAATGATTAATTTTCATTTACAAACATACTTAAAATCATATACAAAAACAAATATTGTGGTCCCACTTTTTTTTTTTTTAAACTAACCTTAATCAGGTTTTAAAATTCTCAATGTTTCAAAGCATCCTCACACACGTACTGTACACATTCAGTATATTTAGTATGGATCATGCATTATAATACAATGTCAAACTATGCACAGTGACCTGCTATGCTGCAAGTCCTGAAACCATTAATTGAAAATGCCTGGGTAGCTTCCACAGAACAGAAAAATAATGATAATTAACAAACACACTGTGACAGGTAATGGAAGGTACAATATTGGCTAGAAAACACATAGATCTAAATAACAGTGGGTGGGATTAGGGACACAGGAAAAAACAATCTTGTACAATATCGGACTTCGTTGGTAATCTGACATATGAAACAAACCAGCATTCTTTTATCAAACAGAAGATAATTCATCAATGCGATACGCTAGGTCAGTATCAAATTAAACATTGTGAAAAATATTAAAAGAAGACTTCAGTTTGCTGGAAGGATAGACTTGTCCAGGTCATCAAAGTATGGATGGTGAAGTGCGGCTTTAGCAGTTATCCTCTTAGACGGGTCATACACCAGCATTTTCTGGAAAAAACAAACAAACAAAACAATTTTATATTAAATTCTTAATTGTGATTTAATTTGAAAAATGTTGATGTTCACTAAGTGTATTAAACATATTGTACAGAATTGAAAATACGTTTTTCATGAACAATAACTCGATGATGGAATGAACTTGTTCATACTATAATTTTCAACAAAAATAGCTCATCATCAAAAATTGTTATATTCGTGTTTTCTATTTGCATAAAAGATCTAGCTGTACCTTTTTTCTATTCTTTTGTATGGTCAACTTCAATTCCGTTAGGTCAAAGCCAAAATTTAGGTTAATTAAAGCTTAAACGTACATACATATGTATGCCTCATAGTAATTAAAATATGTGAATAAATGAAAGGATAGATGATTTACAGTTTTAAGGTGCTTAACCAATCCTAAAACACTTGGTTAAAGTCCTATATACACATTGGAATGCTACGAAGCACAAATTAATGGCTAAGTCAGTCACAAACTGTACTAGAAATAACTATATAATACTATTAGTAGCAAACACAATGTGTACAGATAATACCGGGAGCAAAATATATTAGCATAATACTGGTAAAATGATCAATTAAATTTAGTCAGGTAATTTGCTTTAAAAATATTCTTTTACACTCAAGTTACCATTAATATTACAAAATTAAAATACAAATTGAATGTTTGTAATTGGTTGATCTTTGCAAAGCTAGGTAGCTCCATCATATTATATTTTTCCTTATAAAACGAAATGTTTAATAATATATTAGAAGCAGTAAAAATATCTTACTAACAAGTGCTAGGGACTTAACCCTTTAATTCAGTTGGTAGAGCACTCACTTAAATTTAAAGGAGCATTGGAAGCCTACACATGTCAGATTCCAACATTTAAGCTACCACAAGAAAAATTGATGTCTAATGCTATGCCATCCAACAACCCTGAGATAAGGCTTGAGGAGTTGTCTCGTTGATGAGAGGACATGTAGTTTGAGTTGTTAAAAGCATCTTATTAGCAACCACTAAGAAGTAAACTCTTTAGCTCAATTATCAGAGCATTTGCTTATAGTGCAAATGGCAACGGGTTTGAATCCTGCACATTTGAGATGAAAAATCTGAAAGTACAGCACTTTAAAAGAATTGTTGACATCTACTTGAGAGCTGAATGATGTAAATCAACATTTTTTTTTTATTCTACCGCATCTTTAACTTTGTAGCTTTATTCTAAAATTAAGTTCTCACACAGATAAATGTGGCATTCTTTAAAGGCCTTAAAATGTGTAAAATGAAACCCAGTGCCAACAGTTTATTTTGGGATGATATTAAGGCCTCTTTTCAAAATGTCCCAAAGTTTATAATGTGTTGAAAAATGTATTCAGTAGTCTTAAAGAAAAATACAAATTGTTTCAATGAAAAAAAGTGAAGTAAAACTTACCAGTAGAACATCTATTCCATTGTTGTCCATTTGGCTACAGGTGGAAGGTAAGATATTCTCTTTCCAGCTTGGAAATGTTGGTTTGTAGTCAGGAAGCTGAGTGACTCCAGGCCACACTTCTTCTGTTGGAGTTCCCATGGTTCTACGAGAAATATCAACCATCATTTCCCAACAATGTATTTTAAAGCAAATTCATTTGTTTCTTAAAAAAGTACTTGCATTATTAAAATCCTAGGGACTTGTAATTATGGTTGTTAGTAAGTTGGGACATTGAAATGATATTTATGTAGTCCTGAGAAGAGCCTTTACACAGTGACAAAGGTCACAATTATATATTTTGGGTTTAAGCTAAAGGGGACACACAAAGATGCAAGTAGTGTACCAACTACAGGTTATGTGGTTTGTCTTGAAGCACTAATGTAGACAGTGATGATCGAAAGAGACAATTACTCCCTACTAGCCTAGTGTTTCTGATGAAGTAGCTTTTCACACATCATAATTGGTGGATTTGAGAAATATAAAACCCATAAAAGTCTATAAAGTATAAAATGGCTAAAATGATATACAGACTCAGAGTCATCATCTGGTAAAACATGTTGCATCTATGTATATTTCTGTTATATTTGTTTGGCCAGATAATTATATTTTAGATGCAAGAAGGTACACCATCATTAGTCATTCTCCTTTCACAGTTTTATAAAAAAGCTTTTCTGTAGGATATGAGTAATAGTACAAAGTTAATCATGTGGGAAAATAAAACAACATTCCAAAAAATAAGTCCTAACTATTGCAATATAATCATTTGGAATGTGTGCTATTCAAAGATGAAAAAAGTTATATCAATATCATTCCTCTCAGGATGTTATTGATGGTCACACTCTCACTTCAAGACAATGGATGTTGTAGCCATAGGGCATTATCTGACATGGAAGAGTATAAAATCAGTGTTTATTTCTATATACTATATTCTACATTATAGAAATCTTTCCTACAAGAAAGTGCACAAGTATTAGGAAAAATTTTATTGTTAAATAAAAAAGATGTGGAGGGCTGGCTACTGAACTTGAAAAAAGGAACCAAACAAGACAGAGATGGAAGTCCACTTGATCCGGCTAATGATCACATAGCAGACTAAGCCGTCTCAACTTTACATAGAGAATAAATCCCTACATTACCGGCTTCCCCACTTTATCTATCAAAAGCTTGGTGTTTGAATAGAATCTGAGCTTTCATCAATATATCTTTCCTTTAGTTAACTATAGAATACTACTCTTAGGACTATTTTACAATAGTTCTGGTTCTTTTTGTTTTGTCAGTGGATTGGTCACTTTCTAGTCCTTCCATTACAAGCTGGGTGGAAACCACCCAGCCCGTAACCACGAAAGTATTCATGAGAGTAATTATGCTATGATTTTTGATAATGTATGCATATCTTTACAAAATTTTGCAGCTTATTGATAAAAATTACAAGGCTTTTGTACACAAAATATCAGGTTTTTAAATTAAGTAATAAGTTTTTTAGATGCGAGTCTACAAACGCGATGACATGATCTTTGACTATAGGAAGACCCGTAGAGATAGGGCTAGTTTGGTATCTTAACAGTGGTTTCTTGCCTTGTTTTTGGGGTTGTTGGGTAGAGAAATAAATAAAAGAGAGTGGTAAAACTCTCTGTCATTGTCAATTTTTTAGCATACATATTTGTATTATGCATATTGAGTACCTTGGCCATCCCTACATATAGAGCCTACCACCTCTATGATGCTTTTTTAAAATTATGTATCTTACCTTAGGTGAATGAAACAATAATTTTTGACTTTGTCTTATTTTAAAAAAAGACTAGGTTACTGGTTCTCCAGTTCTTTTGAATGATGAGGAATGTTAGTTCAGGTCACAAATTAATAAAAACAGTTTAGTGTAAAAATAATTTGAAAATGGAAACACACAACACTATTTATGCACACACACAAAAAAGTTTCTTAATTAAGAATGGTTTAATTATATCCACTCTTCTTTACCTGAAAATACGAAACAATTGATCGATCTCTGAATCCCCGTGGAAAAGTGGCCTCTTATTGGCCATTTCAGCAAACATACATCCAATACTCCAGATATCCACAGGAGTGGAATACCGCGGGGAGCCCAGAAGGACCTCTGGTGCTCGATACCATAAAGTCACTACCTCATGAGTATACACCCGCACGGGAATTCCAAACGCTCGAGCTAGGCCAAAATCTGCTATTTTAATTACTCCTTTTTGATCAATGAGTAGATTTTGTGGTTTGAGATCTCGATGTAACACTCTTCTCTGGTGGCAAAACAATATAGCTTGCAAGATCTGGTATAAATAGCTCTAAAAAAAAAAATTTTTTGTTTGAATAAGTACATTTTGTAGGTAAATATGTCTTAATTCCGTTATTACTAAATTAAAACTAGAAAAATTTTTAACTTCACTTTGAACAAAAATAGATCAAATATAACAATTTTAACATAAAACCAAACATTTTGAAGCAAATAGAAAAATGCTTTAACTCAACACAAGCTTGCTAGTCTAACAACACAAGTTTCACTCATATGACTTTTGATGAATACCTGTTGATAAGTATCAAAGAACAAAAGATGTATTTTAAATTGGGATATATATTTTTGAGTTGTAAGAATTCTAAAGCAGTGGTTCTCAATTTTTGGTCCACCGGTGCCTTTCAGGTGGTCTGTGGGAAGGTTAAATTGTCACAGAAAGAAAGTGGTAGCATAGCATGCAGATCCCATTGTGGTTCCTCCTCCCCCTCAGATAAAAATAATCATAATCAGATGGACCACAAAGAAAATAGTTTGAAAACCACTATTCTAAATTGTACAAGTAATGAGAATCTACAGTATTTTTTTTCTTGAAATTCTTTTTCTTGGAAATAAAACCGATTTCAGAATCTTCATATGGCAGGCTTGAAACTTAGTAAACATAAATATCAGTAAAAGATCTTCAAGCACAGGACAAGTAAATGCTACTATAATTTATACAAAATCAAGAATGTAATGAAGAAACTTTGCATCAAGTGGTGTCTAATGCTTTCAAGAGGGATTTCCAGGTTTTGCTGACTTCTAGGTTTACTGAGTGTGTTATCAGTTAGGTGGATGTAGAATGTTTATCTTTCTCTTCTCACGTGCAATTTATGTCCTGTTATATCAGCATCATTCCAATTTATTGTACAGTCTTCTTCTATGGCATGATGGGTTATTTCAGACAGATTGGTATGTTTATTATGCTCTTGAAGTCTAACTCAGCAACTAACACAGCGAAGAAAGTTAACTAACTCTTCAAGAAACATCAGATTTTTGAACAGAAACAGTCCAACAACTACCAGTACACAAGCACTACCTCATATATTTATGGTTTTCCTAAAGTTCATAGACAAGGTTACCCTAGTAACTATGGAAATTTACCATGCCACCCCTTAGATAAGTATCTGGTGAAGATAATATCACTATTAACAAGTCAAACATCCTCACATGTTAAGTTCACTTTGAAGCAATTATAAAAGCAACTTTGATAACCTCACAACACACAATGATCAGCTTTGATGTATCCAACCTCTTCACTAGTGTACACTACACACTACAAATACACCATCAGTAACTTGAAAATGATAGGAACACACTCAACTGACAATCTCTATGATATAAAAACCTACAACCTTCTGTTTCAACACAATTTACTTCCAATTTGAAGATAAATACTACCAAAAAGGAGGAGGCTTGGCTATGGGCCTTCCCCTATTAGCTAATCTCTACATGCAATATTTTTAAGTTAATGTCCTCAAAACAACATCTCCATGACTTAAAATCTGACTCAGATGTGTCTGTGTTACATTTTTAATATGACCACACCTACAGATAAGATCCAAGAATTCATGAACCATCTGAACAGACATCCTGTGATACATTTCAAAGGGAAAAAGAAAGATATGAGCCCCCATTCTTTGATGTGATGGTTACCAAGACACACAACACAGATATGGATAAATACCTTAATTATAAATCAAACCAACACTGCCTAATTTTAAGAATGAACAAGATTTGTAATACTGAAGAAACTAAGATGGAATAAAAACAAACCACTAACAGCCCTCTTTAACAATGGATACTCAGAACACTTTATAAAGATAAATATCAAAAATAAACAGAAAGAAAACTACAAATGCACAGCCATATTCCCATATGTTAAAGTCTCTCTGAAAACACACACAAAATGTGCAAACACGAAGTCAGAACAATCTGAAGCCACAACACAATATGACCACAAATAATGCAAACCAAACCACCCAAGTGAGAGGAAAAAAACAACATTTGTAGCAACTCCCGTGAATGTGGATTCAAATACATCTGAGACATAAAAACAGCAAGAAAAGTTATAATTTAGAAGTATAAGAGCCATACAAGAGTTGGTAATACTGATCTATTTGCCATAGTATCTTGCCAGTGAAGACCATACTATAAAGTGGAAAAATGATAAAATAGGGTATCAATCACACATATGAGAAAATGAAAGATAATCTCCTACATTTACTTAACTGATAACACACCAAGTCAACCTAACACAGAAGTCAGTTGTTACGTCAGCAGAAGTCACGTGATGCTGGTAACACGTAATGAGTATCTCGAAGATTCGTGAATGCTCGAGTGTTTGCTAGATGTGCTGTATTCTAATATATAAGCCTGACAATCAATCGGAACGGGATAGCAGACAGAGAGATTGAAGATATAGACTTGAGTCAAGTGCGTTAGTAAGTAAAGCGCTAATGAATCGTTCGTTGAGAATTATAGCGTGTGTTTAAGTTAAAGTGACTGTGGAAATTAAGTGTATTGCAAAGTTGAATAGAGAAAGAATAAACTAGTTTTATTTGAGAAAGGTCTTGTATCGCTGAAGTTCTTCTGAAAGAATTTTTATGAGCAATTATCAAACGACCAGAGACGTAACACTGTATAACCCTACTGAAAAACATTCAGATAGTTAGCTGATTCAAGTACTAAATGGAGAGACCAGTTTGCTGGACAACATACCAGACTTCCATCAAAAAGACCCAGATTCTATTGTATTTTATTACATTTTTATTTATAGATAATATATTTTTTTGGTTTGTAGTAATCAAGCAACCACAGAATATCAAGCAATCTCTGGCTTCTCATGGTTTTGTTTCATAAATATCCCCATTTAACTCACTCAACTCTGCAATATTTACTTGACACTGCTAGGTGAAGTTGCTCAATACAAGTCAACTTACGGTTAGTAAGAAACTTGTTAATCATAAAGGTTATAAGGGACTGATAATTTGTTAACCATGAATTATGAGCTTTACACTACTATATTAAACCAGATTTGTTTCAAAATTGACTCTAAATAATTATATTTCACAAATTGATCTCACAATTCACGAGTTTCACGAAAAATAAATCACTTTTCTTTATTCATGAAATTACTCTCAATTTCTTTAATTTTGAGATATACACTATTATGTAAAACCAGATTTTCAGAAAAATGTTTTCTGGACTTAGATTTGAATGGAAAAACATAGTTAATAATTTCCTTTCATAAATGATGATTTAAACAATATATACAAGATTGAGAAAAATTTACTGTACTTTTAGACTATAATAACCTCTAATTCAAGCTCATTTATACACTAATGAAGGTAGACAATATGTGATAATTTATGAATATCTCCAAACTCAGGTGCTGAATAGTAAACTAATGAAAGTCATTGACAATTCCAAACCTAGATATTACATTGTAATGAAATATCAGATACTAGAATGATCCAGTAACATATTGAAATACAAATACTATGTCACAACGAAAGTATCACATAAATATTTTACAGAATGTGTAAAAAAAGACATTATGTTAAATCCTGTCACAGGTCAATAAAATAAAACAATGGTTCTCAATTTTTTCCATCTTAGGACCAGCTAGTTCTGATCCCAAAATTTCATGGACCAGTTTGTACAATGTTAACTTTCTAAAGTACTTTTATATTACATTGTAAAACAGTATATTCAGTACTTATATTTTTAAACACATTTTCCAAACAGCTTGCAGATAGTTAGTTTTCTCCTCCTCCAAAGAATGTGTGATACACTTTCAACAAACTACACACTTATTTTTTTACTTAGAATAAATACCTTCACCAGCATCTTGTCCATATTTTGGCCACTGGGAATGCTATCAAGATACTTTTTCAGATCCATGGACAGGAACTCGAACACCAAGTACAATCGATTTTCTTGCATTAATACATCCTGTAAACTGACATACAATACTGATAGTAATAGATTTATTAGCTTTAAATCTAAAAACGTACAAAAATTAATTAGTGCATCACCATGAAAAGAAACACTGAAAATATAATTGTTTAATAATGTGTGAGCAACATTTCTGCCAAAAGCACCCTTCTTCCTAAAAATTAACCTGCAGTTCCAGAAGCAAAGAAAAGTACAGACCTCCCAGTTGGCCACTAATGAAATAGGTTTCTTTTTTCTACAAGTAGACCAAATTGTAGTTTCACAAACTAAACTATAGTTTTATATATAAATAAATAATTTATATTTGACTGATAACAAATGTGATTTTCTTTCTCCACCTATAAAATGTCCATGAATAAGCCCAGTGTTTTGTGTATAATAACAAATTTTTTCAAGTATGTTCTCATAATGAAGTGTGAATTAATCTGCCACATCATAAAAAAAGCTCCATAATCATTATATTTTCACTAACTTGTATTTCATAATTATGGTAATATAAGGTTTCTGGTTAAAAATGTAGTTTCACCTTCAAATCTATAGGTTTTTTGGCCTATTTCAAACATAAATAAAGTTTTTATAAGTTTTACAGGTTTCACTCAGAAGCCTAAATGTATACAAGTTGGACTTAATGTTGTTTTTCAAGTGGTAAATAACAATAAAAAAAATTAATATAAAGGTGTAATTTTACATCCAATCACCTTAAAATTCAGTGTTTCACTGACTGTTTCAGCTGTCTAAGTACACAATGGAAGAGGGCAAAGATGTATGGTTACCAAGAGCTCACAAGCCCTTCACATATTAAAATGTAAGTTTATATTTTTTATAATTAAGTTATTTTTACAATACTTTAGAAAGTGTGATGGTTGTTAATATATGTTTTGTAAGGTTGATGTGCTTATCCTGTTTTCTTTCCAGTTTGCATCTGGAGAAATTTTAGAATCTTCCTGTAAGTTAAGTGATCATCAATAAACTACACTACTGAAAGTGTTATCTCTTTCTCGAATTTGGTAGTATGACCTCCAAAGGTAGATGTCATTCTTAGCCATGATCAGTTCCCATTAATGCAATTTTTTTTTAAAGTAGCTGGGAACTTGAAAACCTACTATAATGGTTAGGCCTGTGCTAGCAGATAGTTTGTTGCATACCAGAATAGTGCTTCAGGACAACAGACAAAACCAGGACCCTTGCAAAAAATGCATAATTTTGAAATTAGGATGTCAATTAGGAAACACTGGATGAATATGATATTCATGTAATATTCCAAGGTTTGGAATAGACAGTCCATAATTACCTGATCATCGCAACAAACAGAGGCTCACGGATCTAGTGTTTGGAAGGACAGCTGCAGTAATATGTCACAACAAGTGAATCAACATTTACACTGAAGGCGAGCAAAAACAAACTTTAAGCAAAGATAGAATAATGAATAGAACATCATCTGATTGTCTAAAGTGTCAGAAGATTACTACTGTTAATGTGAAACCGTTAAATTGGTGAGACTTGATGAAAGTGATGGTAAAATAAAATAAACAAATTTTATTAAAAATGAATAGGAATTTAGCTTTAAAATAAATCAAAAGCTGGATCCATTTTTATGGTTAACACAGAATAATTTGTCTAGAAATGCTTCATACTTTGCAACCTGAATGGGACTTATTTTCAAATCAGTCTCACCCAGTTAACGTGGAACCTAGGTCTTCAACTTAAAACAAATACCCTGAATAATTCATCCATGGGTTGCATGAATGAATGATCATTTTTTCTTTGCATGGCTAAAACTGATCTTCCGACAGCTTGCAGGGACAAACATCCACAAAACACAATTATTAATCAACAGCTCATTAGACAAGAAAAAGATAAACTGGAAATTCTGCACTTGGAAGTTTAACTCTAAGTCATAAGAAGTTTACTTTGGTATAACTTTAAAAACATGACTTCCTGTGTTTTTCCTGCAATTATTATGTGCTTAATGTTAGAGCTGGGTAATAAATTCTATTATTATTCTATTAGCCAATATAATCGATTAACTGAGCATTGTTTACATAGGTTATCATCATGTAAAATAATCAACTAATCTAAATTAATGTTTCTGATTGTTAATGTCTTCGATTATTCTAACTATCCAAGTAATCAAAAACATTGCATTTGTGGATTTCTCATTATTTTTGATTAATTCAAGGTTGTTTTGCATAATCAATTTGTGTCACAACTCACAAAAATAATAAACTAATCAAAATTAGTGCTTACAATTATTACCATTTTCAATTATTTCAACTATTCAAGTCTTATGTGAAAGAACTCAATTTCAATGTTATTGATCATTGAGCTCAACAATTGATTAGCAGATTTCACTAATTACCCAACTCCAATTAATGTGCTGGTTTCTCTACTGCAAAATGTTTTCTTTCAAGATTAAGTTGTTAATCCCAGGAAATGACACTTTAAAACATATGTCTAATAGAAAATGTTTGACAGTCTGCCAGTCATGTCTTGGTGCTTGGTCAATGTATTAACATCTGAAGTAGTGAAATGGCCAAGAACAATGATTTAAAGATTCCTTAAAGCAAGAAGAATCTAGTTTGCAAGTAATATTTACCCATTTTCTCTCAGTTTCATGTTAGATCCAAAAATTTTTTTTTTAAATGCTGAACTTGCTTTTATCTAAATGTGTGTCATATCAATTTCATTCAGGAATTTATTAACATGATGCAAAACAGTGAACTTCAGTATAATCTTTTACAGCAGGTCATGTGTCACTGAAAATGGTACGTACTAAAGAGAACTTCAGTATAATCTTCTCCGGCAGGTCATGTGTCACTGAAAATAGTATGTACTGAAGAGAACTTCAGTATAATCTTTTACAGCAGGTCATGTGTCACTGAAAATGGTACGTACTAAAGAGAACTTCAGTATAATCTTCTACGGCAGGTCATGTGTCACTGAAAAGGGTATGTACTAAAGAGAACTTCAGTATAATCTTTTACAGCAGGTCATGTGTCACTGAAAAGGGTATGTAACAGCTTTTTTTCCAACATAAAATGGATATAAACTCACCAAACAATGTTTGGGTGCTGTAGTTCCTTAAGTAAAGATATCTCTCTGATTGCTGTTGAAGGAACTCCTTCATCCTCACTCTCAAGTCGTATTTTCTTCAAGGCTACTAACTGCCCAGTTTTCTTATTCTTACCTTTATATACAACTCCGTAAGTACCTATAAATATTCAGTGATAAGTTCTATTGAAATATGACATTGAACTTTTCTGTATTAGCAAAACACAGAGAATAATGTCAAAGTACAAAAGGAAATTTACATATATAAATAACAAAAAATGTTCATTGAAAAAAAATAACAAAAATCGAGGTTTTTCTTACTCGTAAAATACAGGGAAAAACCAATTGACCAAGTATTTATGTAAGTTAAGCTCAAAATGACTTGGAAAAGGAATACCGATACATGCAATAAAGAGCTGTATATTTCCTACCCCTTTAGTTAATATGCATATATTTTGAAATTTTTCTTTCAGTTCAGACTGGATGTAAAGAGTCACCCAAGTAAACAACATCACTTCTCCCTCCTTACTTTAGCTGCATAGGAATAGAGATCCATTAAATGGTCACTAGAAATGTTCTTTTCCATGAAAAATAGATGCAACTTCACTCATGATGGCTCTCTTTTCTGTTGGCAAATTGTGTATTGTGAGTGATTCAAAGTCCTGGACAAGATGTGGCATGAGCAGCCTGGGTTTTTGTTTATCTTATTATATTTTGTTATTTAAAGCCACACTCTCCTGTTAGGCAGAATTGTGGGAGCTTTCATAGATTTTTTAATATATAGATTTCAGATATTTTTGAAATAGAGATCTTGTAAGCTTTCATTTAGTATTTGTTTTACTGTACAGGTTAAATTATGTTTAATATTTCAGGTTTTATTTTCACAATGTAACCTTTTCTTTTAGCTTATAGGGTCAGAGACTCACACTGAACTGGTGAGATGATCAATAAGTTTCTTTTTTGCATTTCTCTCTCTCTTACCAGTACCATACACACTTATTACAAACACATGCCTTTGTTTTATTTCATTCTATTGTGCTTTATTATTAAAGCTAGTTGTGACATTTTGTGTATTGACTGTTGTTGGTGAACTCAGAAAAACATTCAAACTCTGTGGTATGATACTGTTACGACAGTGGGGGTCACGTGACTCTAGTAACGCGTCATATTCTCGAACGTTCACGTCCCTACCAGAAGTCTTGAGAGGCTTCTAGAAATGCGGTAGTCTTGTATAAATATAAGCCGCCAAGAAGTGACGGCAACAATGTGTGTAATT